TATCTTGACAATTCTCAATAGCATGTCCACCCCTAGTCTATCTGATTATATCTGTAGTCACATTAATAATATACCTGTAAAATATGTAATACTATACTGCATAATGCACAGCCACACTTTTCCAACTTCCTACCTTATCTCAGTGTTCTGCCTCAATCTGTGTGCAAGCCAACTTGCTCACTGAGCAGGCAAATTATGGCAAGATAAGGAAAATGAAACTTGTGCTGACTGATCCCTCCAGGCTACACAGTTCACTGAGCTGTAGCCTACATGTCAGCTCAACTGTCCTCATGTGTAAGAAAAGTGTCAACTCCCTGTGTGAGACGATAGGACAAAAATCACATTAAAACAGCCAGGGTTCAAGATTTTAAGAGAGCACAATGCCAATACTAAGCACTTCAAATCCCAGAGGCATCTTCAGCTATTTCAATATTTACATTCTTTAGGGTAGGAAACTACAAGGAGAGATGTAGAAGAATCTTGGCATAGGTTTCAGCAAAACAATGTCTCTTTCAGCTTCATGGATAAGAAACAGATTAGAAACTGGTAGCAAAAACCTGGACATAAACCACAGTGACAACTTGCAAAAATACCCTCAACACTCATCAACAGCTAGTATTCAAAATAAGCTTTATTCTGCTCCTGGCATAGCCAAAAGGATGGCAGGTAGCATCACCCATTATTTATTGAGGCATGGAGTGAAACTGAGTGAAGCCAAATTCTCAGAGGAATGGGCTCATGACAATTGGCATAATTAAGAAGTCATTGAAAAGCAGGTAGAGGTCATTAGGAGCCACACAGAAGATGGAGAATGAAAAGGTGTTACCTGCAGGATGCTGGGTACTTGTTTAGAAACTATGCCAAGAAAGGGCAAATAGACAGTAGAAGACCCAGAGAAGGAAACAGTAGAGTTGGTGACTGAATTAATGCCATCTTTAAAAATGGAGCAGCTGCAAGAACAGTAACAAGAATAATAAAAACCAGAATTTGGGAGAAAGAGTTGAAAATGCTCCTACAGGCCCCACACCCCCCTAGTATGGTACATATTAGGAAATTAATAGTATCCCCTGAAGACTGAGATGGTGGTATCTGGGGTGATCTCACTGATAAGTGAAAGAGAAGAGGACTATCCTTTGGTGTGCGTCCCCCCCAAGCCCTCCTGAATATGAAGCCAGGCCAATTGTTAAATTAAAAACTATGGGATCTTGGGGTGGTCATCTGCAATATACTATGCAAACCACCCCCAGGATCCCTTGCAACTGCCAAATTTACAAGAGAAATATAGCAGAAATTCAGCTAAAACAAACTGAAGGCTTGTGGCAAGCATGGCTAAGTGTCAGCAACCACACAACGTCGGGAGAGGATGAAACAAACACTATTTGGGGTCCAGTTTTCTTGAACTTGGGATCCAACCCAACAAATACACCCATCCTACCACCAGCACAGTAGCTTCTTGGGATGGAGGAATAGATGTTATGGAGCAAGGTGAAGCTTCCCTAATCCCCATTAAATCTCTAAGCAAGCTCTCTACAGCTGTCACAAAAGCCATTTGCATATGAGCCATGCACAAACAAGGACCCCATAATGTCCCACTAACTGCTACAGTAGATTTTGCAATGTTAGAACTATTAATTAGCAATTCTTAAACTCTAACTGCAAAATGAGGTGAAATTAAAAGAGACACTGAACATAATAAAGACCAGGACAATAACATTCCTAAGGCACACTCTACATGGACAGAATTAATACACAACATTGTTAACTGCAGTCATGAAACAGGCTGGGATGATACACCAGCTGAAAAACAAAACCTGAAACCCCAGGGAGGCGATCACAAAGTAAGATCCATGAAACAGGGGATGTAAACTACATTAAAAGTAAACAAGTTTAAAAACCCATGAACAGAATTTTGTGTACAGGAATGAAATATGCAAGAGTGTGTTAGCCTTAGACATTCCTGGAGTTGTGATTCAGTCTACTAGCACTATCTCGAGTCTAATTGAAGCATTCTGAGGAACAAGGTAGCAGTGAAAAGGAGAGCATTTCAACTTCTGCCTCCCTTCCTCCCCCTTAGAAAGAAATTGAGGGTGGAGAGACACTGGAACACATCTCCCAGAGCAGCTGTGATTGCTCCATTCCTGGCAGCCTTCAAGGCCACATTAGATGGGGGTTTGAGCAACCTGGTCTAGTGGAAAGTGCCCCTGCCTGTGGCGGGGGGGGGGGGGGGTTGGAACTTTATTAAAATTATGGGATACCACTTTTAATTATTTAGCTCCTGTTATGCCTTATCAATTGTTACAATCTAATTATACAATGAGTCATGATTTATTGCCTACCTCCATGGGAATGAATCTTATATTGGTGAAGAAACTACTACAACACAATGATCTCTGTCAGCAGCCCAAGTGCATCTGAAACAACAGGCACAAAACTCTAATCACCGTTCATTGTGATACAGGATATCTGTATATTGGAAAGAGTGAAGAAGGACAGAGAACAGCAGTGGTAGGAAACTCCTCTTGGATGGCTACTGACAGCAACAGAAATTTTTAATTTCATACTTCACCCAGTTGTGATTTTATTAACTCTAATGTGTCTATTACTTATATTGCATATAAAGGTTTGGCATAAGATAAAACAAATAATCCAACTTTAATCACCCCAAACATACAAACGAACACATAACAAATAGTAGTGCTTCACTGTATACTTACTGTGAATCTGTAAGTGCTCAAATTATTAATACAATATTTATGGCAGAGGCAAGAGGCTACTGTACCACCATTCTGTGAGGGCAAAGATAAATTGACTACAGTCACAGAGTGGAGCATGGTGCTGTGTTTCTCCCCCCTTCCCCAATCTGACCTTTATTTCCCAACTCTGCTCAAGTGATAATCACCAGTGGTGGTGGTAATGGACGAGTCTGGGTAATGATAAAGGCATCCAACTTAACTCTTGGGAGATGGGTAATAACACAATAGCCAAAGGCCTAATCTGAGCAAGGTGAACCCCTCCCACCCCCAAATATAATCCTGGTCAAGGTCCAACTCAAGGCAAGTTTCTGTAGTAGATAGGAGAACACAACCATGACTCAATTGTGTTACTCCATAAATACTGGACTGCCCAGAGCCCATTGAGCTATCCTGCACAGCAGCAGCCTGCAAACCAGGATATCCCCCAAGTAGGGCCACCTCTCAACAATACTCCTCAAGGCTGAGAGATTCCTTGCTGCAACAGATCCTCAGTAAGTGATTAAGTGTGCTAACCTCTGCAGTCCCAGCTACATGATATAAATGACTGATCGCACATATATAATCCTTTAGATATAAACTGCTGACCAAGTCTGAGACTAAGTCTGAATCTAACCACAACCTTGATGCCTCTCTGGAAGGAGTTTAGAAAGCAAGGGGGTCCTTTCTGAACCTCACGACTCAACAGAAGGGTCTGCCTGACAGCTTTGCTTGACCCTGTCCTCTATGCAGTAAATAATCAAGTGCACATCACCATCAAACCTTGTTAAATCCCTGTTTCATTTACTAAAAAACTTTGAGTCAATGGTTTCTATCAGTAAACATTTTGCTACTTCTAAGTGCATCACTCCTCCATCCACAACAGCACACAAGTTTAGCCAACTGTGTACATGGTCTGAATAATGGGAATCATCTGTGTTTATTTCCTCTTCCAGAGAAACAGATGCATCAGTGACTGTTTTCACAGCATTTTATAAAAAAAAAAAACTTATAAAAAACCCCACCAGAAAAAAAAAAACACACACAAAAAAAAACAACCCACAAACCAAAGACCACCCACTAAAAAAAACAAACCAAACCAAACTACAAAGCAAATTAAACCAAACCCAACCCATTTATGTGTTCTTTTGTCAAATAAGCTCTTCCCACCCACACCCCCCAGTAAAAAAAAATATAAAAACTGTTTAATCATGATTAGCTTTGCAAGTACAGGCTTCCCTAAGGTACATTAATACTGTGAGCAAACCTACTCCATTTAAAAAACAAATGGAAGTTTAATAATATTCTAGGGGGGGGGGAAATTACTTTAAAATAGTTTTCTACTCATATACATTTGTCTAACATGAAGGACTTCTCAGGTTAAAAAAAAAAAACACAATTCTAATTCTAACAGCTGAAAGCATATATTCTCATAGACAAAATAAAACAAGAAAAAAATCACTAATACCCAAGGCACATTAACAAAGAGAGCTTTAGAAAGCAGTAAAACCCACCTATTAAAATGTTAGATCTAGCAACATAATCAGGTCTCTTGCCTCCTACACAGCCAGGTTTTATGGGCCACAATATAGCAAAGAAAAGAAGGTGTCTATATGCTAAGCCAGTTCAAAGTCTCCTACCTTGCTGTTAGTTCTGGTATCTCCCAAGTACTACTAAGCACTAGGCATCCCTCACCTTTAACCATGGTCTGTTCTTAATGGCGAATCATTGCTTACAAAACCATATTAACCACTATAGAGGTAGGTTTTTGTGTAACATTCTGACCAGCAAACATCCCCACAAAAAGCTGAGCAGCTTCCCCACAGAAATATACCTTCCTCCACAGAAACACATTCTTCTAATTAGGGTGACTGCAGCACACAACAAGCATGATAGAAAGCCAGCACAACCAGAATTAAAACCAGAACCCCATGGTGCTGTACTAACATCAAAATCCAAAGTCTGAAGAGCTGCACAGGGAATACTGTCTCTGTTTTAGGTAGAACGACAATGGCTTTGACTGGTAGTGTCAAAAGAAGAAACTTTCATGGAGCTATTTACAGTGACTTATGTAGGAAGCAATTCCAAGTCCTGCACTGCTAAGTATCATTGCTTTATTACACCAGCCACAGAGCTCAGCCGAGAGGTCAGACTGGGCAAGGCCACAGGAGACCACTGACAGTTGCAGCTTCTTGTTCAGTTCTCCTCTACACCAAAACTGCTGCACAATTGCTCACTGATATTCTCTTTTAAATGTATTATTTTTAATCCTTTTCCACAGTCAGACAGCCTTTTCACAGCAGCATCTTGACAACACTTGGTGAAGGATGGCTCATTGTTCCTGGCATATTCGGAGGCCGTGTTCCAAACTCCAGGCGTTTCACTAACCTGCAAATACAAGAGAAGTCAGTGCATTTCTTGCTCAGTGTCACCATCTGAAGATAACTGGTCACTTCCAGAGTACCCCATTCAGCTTGAGAAATGAACAGATAAACTAATGCCACTCTGAGCACTGAGCCCACTACTTAACTAGGCTGAGTTTCCACTCTAACACAAGGCTCCGGTTCCCTCCAAGTAGTGAGAAGGTATCTTTTACAGGTGTTAGAATTTCAGTTCTAGAATTACAGTGGTAGGTGTATAATCAGCTACAAGAACACAAAGTACAACACTTGAGGCTTTCTTATAAGAGATTTCATGAGGTTTTTCCCCAGGCTGGGATAAGAAGCACAATGTAGAACGCCCCTTCCATACAGGAACTTTGGGTACTGGTGACAGGACAAACCAGTATTCCCAGTGCAAGGGTCTTAGCTGAATAATTGAGTCTGGGACAAACTGTAGTATAGATACTTAATTTACAGAGAATCTAAAGGATGTGAGGTACAGGACTAGCAGGGTTTAAGCAGGCACTGAACTGCAATTTGAAATACCCTTGTTGATGTTTCTTCAATTGGTTTTAAAAAAGAAAAAAAAAGGGGGGCAAACACTCCCCCCCAAACCACAAGCGCACAACAACAACCCAACCAGTTCAAGTGTTCACACAAATACGAAAGTTGAGTCAGGTAAATTCCTGTCAGGTGCTCCTTGGAAACGCATCTTAGTGACAGTAAAGCATTCTGATTGAATGAACCCATTATTTGCCTTGTTTACCAGTTCTCCCATAAATGAGAATCCTAACTGTGATAAGGGAAGTCCCTACATGCCATGATGTTCCTAAGCTATCACTTGTACAAGAACACAAAGCATAAAACAAACAAAGCCAATAAGCAAGAGCTCCTCCATTGTAATTCATTCCACTTATTAATGGGTTCATCATAAAATACATGTATCACATTTGCTCCGATACATTTTTGGTTGCCAAATTTTTTGGTTCTGGAATTTTGTTTCCAAAACTTGATTCCAACTAGTCTTCAAATTTCAGCAGCTAGTGATTCCAAATTCAAAGCTGATCTAAAACATTTAAATCATAATCCTGAACAACTAAGTTTCATGTATGTTGGAAATGGATCTGTCCCTACCATAACAAAGATTCAATACAAAATAAAACAGTACCAGTCACTAAGTTTTAACAGCAACACTTCTCAATAAGACACAACAGCAGAAAACAGCACTCACCCTGTATCACACAGAGGCTGATGAGGACTCAAGCGTGTTTCAAGGACATCTCTGTTCATGTACATGGACACTGTGGTTCTGCTTGGAGACTGGTCATACACAAAGTTTCGGCAAGACGCAAGTTTGGACTCCAAAGCCTAATGTAAACACAGCTGAGTGAAGTGTCAGATATCACATTCTCTTTTACAAGATGACATTGTGGCACACAAAAAATGGCATTAAGAGTGTTTGGAGTTTCTGTGGGTTTGGTTTTGTTTGTTTCTTTTAGAATGAGTTGTCTAGTAGAGGAACTTGCTAGACTCCAGTGCTACATGAGGGCTGAATTTTTGAAGAGACAAAGTCATCTCTCTAAAGCTGAATCTTTCTGTAGGGCAGGTTAAGGAGTTGATCCTACTAACCAGCAGGAAAACAAAGCCTTCAGCTTCCTCAGGGAGATTTTGACATCTTTCTTAGAGGTATCACTTTGAAATTACTAAATGTTTGAGCTATCTCCTTTCCTAGACACATTAGGCTTTACATACTAGGTGGTACACCAGAGGGAACTGAGCCACAGATAAACTATTCTGCGTGCCATGCTCCCACCCTAGAAAACTCCAGCTTTGTTGCTGGGTTACTCTTCAGCTGTACCAGTTCTGCAGCTTAGCCCATCCAAAAGTCATACAAGTGCTTGTGCCAACACAGCACTGGGGCATAAGGGATCAAACAGAAGGAAGGCAATGGATATTTCTTCCAGCATCAGCACTAGCTTAAATGTCAAACAACAGCTTAACAAGACATTAGGCCTTGCTCAAAAGGCTACTAGACTTTTAAGGAAAACATCAGAAGCCCTCTGGACAGCAGGCACCCTCCTACTTTCTTTCCTACTTTTCGTGGGAAAGAAGACCTTCTACTTACTTGTTCATGCCGATTTATTCTTTCTGCACATGTGCTTTCAGAAATCTGTAGAGGAAGATCTTATCCACATGGGGATAAGACCTTAGAAAAACAGAGCAGGGTCCATCTTTGTCTGGGGGTTGGTCAGAAACATACCAAGTCCAAACCAAATTTCAAGGCCAGGCTTAGCTAATCTTGGGACAAGATACTCTTTCCAGTCTCCCCTGAGCAGCAGCACAGATAGTACTGGCTACAGTTTCAGACAGCTCTTCCTTTCCAAAAGGACTGGCTGGCAGGTAAGCACTCACCCCCACTTTTCGTAGCAAGTCCCCCACGATGTTAAGTGCAGATATTCTTGCAGCAGGTGTGAGAGGGGTTGCACCAAAACTGTCCTCGAGACCTGCAGGGCAGGTTAGAGGAGGATTAAAACAAACAAACAAACACAGACATGCACACACACACAAAAAAAAACAACAAAAAACACACACACACAAAAAAAAACAAACAAAAAAACAAACCTTTGACACTGGAAGTCAGAAGACACCTGACATATACAGCAGAGAAAACAATTATCTTCACCTTTTGTATCTCACCTCTAGATCTTTCATATCCATTAGGAATATGAAGCACAGTCCCTCTGAGACTGCTCAAGTTACACTGTCCTAAGCTAAAGTCTCTAGACATGCTGTGGCTTAGGTTTCTAGAGATCTGCTCTACCAGCCTACTTTGCACCTCTGTTGCTGCAGTGGGACCAGAGAAATGTGTCCTCCGAGAGGAACATCACCTCTCATTTTACTACAAATATCCAAATCCTCTCACTTTTACAGAAGCATTAATTCCTCCACACAAACCACAATTTTAGGTCAAGCATACTGAAGCCCACAATTAAGCTTTGTTAGTGCTCAAAGCTGTATTATCAAATCATCGGAATGCAACAGTGCAACCCCCTACAGCCATGAACAGTGTTACACAAATTTCCAGCTTCTTAAGTAAAAAGATGGGAGACTTAGTGTTAGAGGCTTGAAACATTGAAACAATCAGTACTTACAAAAAATAAGCAACTGATATTGACATGAAACCAGAGTATAGACAACTTGGATGACTTGTCAGTGTCCTGCTGTTCCAGAGTAAAAAATAAAAAACAAAAACCCTCTCCCAAGACAGCATCTACTCTCACAGAGAAGCCAATTCAAGTAACATGAGCATGACATTAAAGATCATGCTCAAGTCTTTCCCCAAAGTTAGCCCAGCATCTCTGGGACAATTGGGAACTAATAGTTAAGTCACAACAGGTGATGTTGTCCTTCACAATTATTACTACTGGACAGTTGAAGTCAAGTTGAAATGAACACTTTATGAATAACCCCCAAAAATCACAGTCTATGAAAATAAGACCGTGGTGACAGCATTGAGGTGTATTTTACTGAAACACTTAACTCCGCTCATTCCCCCTTCTTCTCATTCCTCCTTTAGCCAGAAACTATAGTAAAAGCAAGAGAAGCAAATAGTAATTGTGTGCTGATTCCCTGTCAGTCACCTCTCCTAAATGTCATAGGGGTGGGTATGTTGATGCTGGGTGCCCGGTGCACTGAAGGAGTTGAAGGCACAGATAAGGATGCTTGAACTGCAGTGTCTGTTCTTTCTGTTTCCAGGCTAGTTTGCATCGGTGTTTTGGGTTTCTCCTGTTTCTGCTGCACTGCAAGCTCTTGACGTAGATCTACGAAGGAAGCAATATAAAGCAAGCTTTTGGAGTATGCATCCACCAAGATAAAAACAGGTAAGAATGTTTTGCTCAAAAGATTATCCCCCCCTTGTGGAGGTGAAATCACTTTTCCCTGTAAAGATTACTCTAGGCATATGTTCAAAATCCAGATGATCACTAAAGGATTTTCTGGGATTGTGACTCAAGATGTTTTTGTGGTATCCCTCTGAGGCAGGTAATTAACTCCTTTCCAAACATTACAGGGTGGTAAGCAGAGGCACGCCAAGACCAAGGCTAGACAACCTGGCACACCTTGGCTACATTCCATCTCCCTGCCAGGTTGAGATCCTACCTATTGTATCCTTTTCTCTTCTACCCTGGTTTCCGCATGAAGGAAATCTGAGCTGAAGACAGCTGGAAACCACACCATTATCACTTGTCCCTAAGCCTTGCTATAGCTTACAGAAGCCACTCAAGGGCACAGAATCTGAGCACATCTGAAAGCACAAAACGGTTTTCCAGCTCCGTGGTCTCTCTTCTCAGCCAGCCTTAGTCATCAGTATCAGGCAGCTAGGACATGGGGCTACTCAAAGGTAACAAGAAGTCAGTCACAGCCCAGGAAACAATGAGGTTAATGGTTATTAAAGCTGACCTTCATAGGTTACAGGAAGCCAGACCAGACATGCCCCAGCTGGACTGGCTCTTCTTAACCCCCCAACAGCCCTGAAGCATCACCACAGATCAGGAGAAGGCTGGAACAGACTTTTGCTTCTGTGAGCTGCTCTGAAACAAGGTCACAGAAGCTGAAGGAGGGAAGGGGGGGGGTCAGTCTTGAAGCTCTCATTTGTTTCTACATTTCAAGTAGCTTTAAAAGATGCAACTTTAAAAGCCAAGCTCTAAGACATAGAAAGAGGACTTAACAGGTACAAGCCAGGAGGGGAGAAAGGCAAAGATACAAGCAATTTCTATCTAACCTCTAGCTTCATCTTTCAGGCGCTGCACGGACTCCAGGAGGTTTTCCTTCTCATCCAGCTCACTCTCCAGAAAAGCATTTCTTTCAATAGCCTGGTTTAAACGCTGTTCAAAATCCTCTAGAGACATTATAGTGGCTCTGAAAAAAGAATGCATAAGATGTCACTACCAGATCCTTCTAGCACACAGAAGAACCTTCTCTCTCAACAAAGGGGGTAACATTGCATTTTAGTTTTTTTGCTTTTAATATTTTTATTTTAGCTTGTAAGATATGAAAGTGTGCAGTGGAGGGAGTGCCATCTGCCACAATCCTCTTTACCACAATCATCACTTGAGTGATGAGCTCAGAATGGCAGTGCTGAGGAGCACAGCATTACAAACAGCACAGTGTCACCATGATCACAGGACAGAACAAAGGTGGAAAAAGAAAACACAGAAGTCAAGTCACCTTTTTGCTCTTTCCAAGTCATCATTTGCTTGCTCAAGTTCTCGAATATATTTCTGAAGTTGATCTTTAATAGCTTTTGTCTGTGCCAAGTCATCTTGCAGTGCAGAGATTTGCCTGTATCCTTCTGAATGCTGAATTTCAATCTTTTCCTAATCAAAGGCAAATCAAAGAGCATTAGCAATGCACGTGCTCGTTCTGTAGCATTGCCTGAGCCCCTTTAAAGGCAGAAGCTGATGCTGTGATGTTTTTTTGAGAAGCATCACCTTATATATGGCAAAATGCCAACAAAACCAACTGTTCACATAGTTCTGGGCTGTCGGTAAACAAGTGCTCTTCCTGTTGCCTCTTAAGAAACAATGGTACTGGGGAGCAGTTCCTGACCTCCACAGCACAGGACTGTTCTTTGCGCTCCCAGACAGCAAGATTCAGCATAATTTCTGAGCCCCACAAGCTTTAGCAACACACAAAGCAGGATGCAAGAGAAGCCCCTTCTTTTCAATTCTAGTAAAATCAAGCTGTACTTCAGAGCCTAAGAAGAAAAAATAAAATCCAAGCGTAACACTGTTACATACTGCTCTGAACCAGCAGGATTCTCCACTGCCCCTCTGTTTTTATTAGCCTATAGTGTTCTAGAGCACAAAACATTTCTAGTACAGTTATGCAACATGCTTTGGATGTAAGCCTAAAATCAAACTGTCTTCCTTTACAGCATCTACACAAGAGTAGATTTACAACAGACAAAGGCAGGGAGGAATGCTTAAGCTTCTCCATTAAATCTCTCTCTCCTGATACTGCTGCTGTATGTGGAATTATCTCCACGTCCCACGAGAGGGAAAGCTTCACAGCACACAGTCTACTGCGACACTTTACATTCCACCACCTTGCTACCAGAACCCTTCAACAAGCCAGACATTTTTATTAAACTCCAAGACTGCTGTATAAAGTCGCATTACAGAGGCACTTTCACGATCCAGAATTTAAGTGCAAAACAGCTGAAGACATTTAAAACAAATCCATGCACTGGAATTTGAAAACCATGGCATGTAGTCCAGCATGACTGACAATTTGAAGACAGCTATTTTAGTACACTAAACACATAAACAGAGAGGAGGCAGGAATTCTTAATTCCAAATTAAGACATTCTAATTTGATTACAGCATGGTGACATTACTATAATTCCAGATCTCTGAAGCATAGTTACATGCAGAAGAGCCTCCAAGCTCTAAGAGGCAGATAACTTTCAGTAGGTTTTCAGGACTCTCTAAACAAACCCTTCAAAGCATTATTTCCATTTATTTTTAGGTGTGAACTCCGGTTTCTGAGGAGGAAGCAAGTACACACACTAGGCTGGAAACTCAAAGCCACAAGCTGTGTGGGCCTGGCAAAGTTCACTAGCATTGACCTAGATGCCGACACCAACCCTTGATGGGCTCAGTTAACACAGCTGCTCAATAGTTTTGTGAGTTTAATGCTTTGCTCTCAAATTGATTCAGATAAAAGACCAGAACTGCAAGGTTTGAGTCTTTGTTTTTAGCCAATTGTAATAAATTATCAGCTGATCTGGCCATCAATGGTGTCTCTGTTCCTTCACTGCAGGCTGTTACTGCAGTTTTCAGACTGCATGAATGGCCAATTGTTAAAGAAATTCCTTTCAAGCAGAATGTTTTAAAGTAATCTACTCTGAAGGATATTTTAAGAATTTCTAATATATATTTACCCTCCACTTTTTGAGGGTTTATGATGTTTCCTATTATTTTCATTCCTAACTGCTTCAGCTACTTCATTATCCCTTCCCCTCATCCTAACTCCTCCAGAGCAAGAAAATAGTCCACACCCTCCTCAAATGCACTGTGGATTTTATGTTTTATCAAACCTACGCCTTCAACCCCAAACCCACCAGCTTACATGGATTTATGTGGCTACATGGAACAGTAAATACTCCATGCAATACTCCAATACTCCATACAACATGCAGAGCATTTAATACCACTAACAAGCTAATTCAAGACCAATAAAGATCAGTGCAACATATACACAATGAAACAAGCCTTGGAGCTTTTGCTATCAAAGAGCAGAGGGCAGGAATCACTACGCTGATGCCAGAGGGACAAGACATCTGCTGAGAATGAAGATTATTTTCTTAAGACAGTAATTTGGGCAACAGTTTAGACAGAAGGCATTGCAAACCTGGATTAATCCAGTGATGAATCACTGAAGTGATTAATCACTTCTACAAATACCCTCACTCCCATTAGCTCATTATTACATCCAATAGAGTAGAACTACAATTACATTAATCTCTGCTTCCACATATATTGACCTAGCCCTACAAAATACAGCGTAGTGTTTCCTGGGAGACTATACCACACCCTTAAGTAAAAGGCCAACAAGATCAATCTTTAAAAAGGCACACACCAATTTCAGTGCCAACTCATTTTCGAGTTTTCTTTAACTTACCAGTATTTCCTAAACCTGCCAACCAGCACAAGGGACTAGCAGCATCTTTAATGAGACCAAAATGAGGCAGACTCATTATTCTTCATACTCTAAATAGTTTCAGGATCTCCTAAGTCATTCAGTTAAGAAGTTCCATCTCAGTAAGTTCATATCCCTTATGCTTTATAATTACGAAAGATAATGCTTTTCAGCTGGGTCTTAGTTCTACAGAAGGCTACCCAAGTGTAAAAAGGATACATTATTCTTCCCCAAGTATAAAGAGACACAGTAATAAAGCCAGGACTGAAACTATTTTATACCTCTCAGTCCTATGCATTACACACCAGCTGCTGCTTCCCAGCTTATCTGGAATGCCAATTAATAAATCCACATCTACATCAAAAGGGTTTAAAACAAATCACTTGTCTTATGTAATGCAAGAACACAGCTGGAATGTTTGCATCTTGATTGTTCTGCAATATTATCTGTGTCTGCACAATGCAGACAGCAAGAAAGCTATGAACAAAAATCACTAAGTAAATGGAAGAAGGAACAGAACAGCAGCTCAGATATGTTCATGCTTGCTCTCCACTCTACTGCAAACAACTTTCTCCCGTCTAAAATATATCCTGACAAATAACCACAACCTGACAACAAGGATTCAGGAACATTGCAGAGATATCCAGGATCCTTAAAACAGACAACAGATAAGGCAAGCTGAATCTGCACATGCCTGTCTAACTCACCTTTGCACTTTGGGTGTACAGATACTGTATGAATCATCCACTCTTACCTTAACTGACTCCAGTTCCATTCGCAGACGATTGTTTTCTGACAGAAGGTCTCTATTTCTGGACTCTGTTTGCTGCAGCTGGGTCTCCAGTTCAGCTTCATACTCTCGACTCCCTTCTTGGAATTCACGCAATTCCTCCTGTGTATTCTCAGCACTAGAGAGCAATTCCAGCGAGAGAACTCATCAGAATGAGCAGGAAAAAGTCTCTTGTACACTCAAGGTGAAAGAAAAAAAAAAAGCCCTTTAACATAGAAGGCTCTATGCCCTTCTCTAACACATATTCAAAAGGAAGAGAAGACCATAGGCAAATGTTTTCCCATCAAGCATGGAAAGCCACCCCACAGCAAACTGGTAAATAAAAAAAACAACAACCAAAAAAAACCCCAAAAATTGAAAAATCCCAAAGTCTGTTTAAACACTATAGGTGCTGAAGACATTTGAAGTCTCTTTACCATGCACATTATCCACTGTCTGTGTATTTAGTATGTTATCCAATTATTTGAGAATATGAATAAAGTAATTTTTTATTAGCAATAAAAAGTGAGAAGAGAGAAGGATGGAAAGATGTTCTTATGTTCTATTGATGGAAAGATGTTCTTATGTTCAAACCTCCAGCAAGCCAAACCAGCAGCACTGAAAGGTCTGAACACCTGGTCTAAGAAAGGACCCAAGATCAGTATCTAAAAAGTTTGATTTTTTTTCACCCTTTACTGCATTTAAAGCAACATAATGAGCTAAAGGGAAGGGCAAAGTATGTCCAGTCTCAGCCAGGGATCCTCCTCCATTTACATGCTGTCAAACCATTCTTGATCCACACAGAGGTCAATCAAGCATCTCTCTTTCTGCAATGGCCCGCTGGATCATCCACTGCCAACAAGGCTCTGCAGTGAGTTATATTCACCCCAGATGCCCAGAGACTGCAGTCAGAGGCACAATTTCAGTACACAGTCCTAACTTAAACCAGAGCAGGGATCAAAACCAGTAGTGCCAAACAGCAGAGTCACTGCTCAAATAAGCATAAAGGACTCTGGGCTGCTGTAGTTTATGCAGAAGCATTGCTACTGCTACCAGTCAAGATAGCTGAACCGCCTTGAATATATTCCCCTGTGAGGTGCTATCTCCATCTTTGCATGCTGAGTTATGCACCCTATCAGACACCTTAGAGGAATGAAGCCACTGCCTTACCACTGCTTGTATTTCATAGCCAACTCTTTCCAGTATCTGGTTTCCTCTTCCAGTGAGATGAAGTTATGTCCTTCTGAGACTTCCATTCTGAGTCCTCAAAGTTTAAAACTCCCGTTTCATTTTTCAACCCCTGGAAAATTAAAGGATCAAGTGTAAGAACTAATGCAGTGAGTTACCTTAGCATTTTCTGCCACAGAGCAGTGCACCCCTCCTCCCAGGAGGTCACTGCACACCTGGGGAGACCAAGCTAAAGACCAGCCTTTACAGGGCTCTGTCAGATACACCATAAATGTTAAAGAATATTTTATTTCTGAGTAATCAGGTCGTTTTCCCCAGTTCTCACAAGGCTGCCGCATGCTTACATCACATCCCCAGCAATGAACACCTTCGCCACCCTCTGACTACACAGTATGGAGCACCAAACCTCAAACTTTGGCTGCAGTCACACCCACACGCACAGAACACAAGTGAAACAGAAGACACCTCAGGCACAACTTCAGCTCCAAAGACAGTTCAATTAAGGTCGATTTCGGCAACCCTAAAGACACTTATGAAATTAAAAAGAAACTTCAGGCACAGATAAGGTGCTCAAGATACCAATTTCCTGTGTTAACATTTCTAGGAACACCTAAACTTTTTATGGACATAACTGCTGGGGACACATGGAAAACTTCACCCTAGGTCAACACAGGAAGCTACCCAACTTTAAAAGCCTGAAATATCACAATCCATATATGTCAGAGAGACACCATATACTGCGATACCTTGGAGAGCCATGGGAGAAGGTAGCTTCAGAAATTCACAAGGAAATGAGAATAGAAGCTCTACAGAGGTTTTAGCAGGATACCACCTGGATGGACTAGGTATGCAGATAGATATCAGCAACCTAGCAAGCGCTCCAGACCATCCAGCTGTCCCTGTGCCAGCATAAACCCAGTCATGGGACATAGCCCCAAATGATAACAAAAAATTAAAGAGTGACAGGGGAGTCAAGGACCTTAAGTTGATCACTTGTGCTTGAAGTCTCAAGTATCTAGACACCAGAATTAAGCAAGTCCCCTCTGATGTGCATGATGCACTCTAATAAACAGGTCATTAGCAAACATTATTATATATGAGTTTGTTTTTACAATGGAGAATCATCAAACCTAATGCTCTGGATAACCTGCCCATGTCCAACCCTGGGTGAGGCAAGAATTTCATATAAACATTACCAATTTAATAGAAACCCAGCTAGATCAAGAAGAGTAAACAAAGGTGGAATCAAACAATTTGTGACAAGAGCAGCTGTCAGAAAATTGTATAGCTGAAATCTAATGACTGAGGAAACAGAGCTGTTCTACCAAGTTTCATCTCCAGAACTACCAAGCAAAACATGCCCTAGAGGTAACCCTCATGGAATAAAGAGGGCAGAAAAATAGCTAAAGTCTTTGAAGACCATAAAGATGACAGTCCCACCTTCTGCTCTTATTTATGATACTCAAGAGATGCTGGAGTAGGCCTTCTGAGCAGCATGTCAAAGGTAAAGAAAATGTGTATCTACTGCACACTGAATTTGATTGAAAAAATTAGTTGCAACCTGCGTTGAAAGTTTTCTCTCCAGAGAATCACCCGGTTTAAGCACGATTAACAGCCATCTACCTAGCAACTCTATTGAGCCAAACATAAGTACTTCCTACCTCTACAACAGAGAACAGGATCAAGTACTCAAAGTAGTCTGGCAATCTAAAGCCCAGTTCTTACGCACCAAGCACTGCTGCAAAGCACGAGTCCTTTTCATAGCCTAGGTGATTTTCAGAAGGCTACTGAGCAAAGAGTAAGCAGCTGTTACAGCTAAGTGGTCTGTGTCCACACACCTCAATGCTCAGTATCAACTACACTCCCACAGAAATTACACTATTCTTTAGTAGGGGAACTAGTGAGGGAAAGTTACTAAACTTTAGTTTTTATAGTTCAGCTTCTTGACACAAATTGTTAATTAGACAAAGCCACATGTCTCCCTCCTAACAAATACCCCCCACATGTGATGTATTCACGCACTTCCAGCAAGAAGTCCCAAGGCTGCTGCTCTTTGGCTCTTTGTATGTATTTACATATTACAGTATCCACTGGCAAAAAAAAAAAAAAAGAGAGAGGAAAAGGAGTGCAAGTAAGGAGGAATGATTTTTCCAAATGGTATCCTTGCCCATTAAGAAGAAAATCACGACCAAGCATAATTAACATTCTTGACCTAGGACAGTTTACGACACTTCTACTCTATTATTTTTAAGAGAACTTAAAGTGTCTTTGATGTTAATGAGCATGTCCTTATGCTCAGGGCACTGTGTACACACACACCAATCCTTGTAGCACACTGGCGAAGAAAAAAAAAAATCTCTTTTACAGATTAGGGATAGGGACAAAGGGTCAGACACAAAGTGATACAGTGATGCAATGAGAAACCAAGGATCAGCACTCATTCCTGTAGTCAAACAATTCCAGAGAACAGCAAGGCAGAGCTTCTTTTTCTCACCACTCGCACAATAGGAAGTTTCTGTATTTCTTCAGGAACAGAAATTCCACACAGAGCATGCCTAGCTTTGTAACATAATCTAAAATACATTTCAGCAGTGTCCAATGAGGAATTATTCCGACACAAATATTAGAATAAATCCCAGATCCATGTTCTGACAGTCACAAAAAAAGTCAGACAAAACACTGCAAGACGTGTTGCTCCTACAAGCTTTGCAACAACCCGTCAGAGTGAAAAGGCACAGCTCCTGCTGGCCTCAAGATCTTGAGCATGTTCCTATCTGGCTCTCACTTGTGTTTTTACACTGCACTTTGGAATGACTAAAAGAATGTATTAATTTACATTTTTTAAAGACAGTCACATACAAAACAACTTTCCCCAACCAAGCTGCAAGATTTGTAAAAGCTCTACAGAGCCTTGATAACTTTCACAGAAGCATAAAGATGCTGGGCCCTTCCGTTTTTGTAAAGATGAGCTTACGGACCTACTGAGAATGTTTGCCGTTAAGAATAATCTGTTTAATGGTTACCATTACTAAATAGCACTTACGATTTAAAATAGTTAAGCTGCAAATACATGGAAGTATTTGTGGACCTATACTTCTTCTACATAGAAGATACAACACGGCAGAGATAGTTTCACTATTGTACAGCCATAGGCATGAATTTTTTTTCTCTAATGCATAAGGAAGATCTATTAGGGTCCCTGTACACCTGCACTGCATCTTAGAACACAGGGATTTTCAAACTAACCAAAGGTGCAAGATACAAACTTAAACTGAAAAGAAAAATGCCAAATTTTAGGCACAGTATTAAAACTTTTTTCTATTCCTGAATTTCTTTCAAAAATCCCAAACCACCACTCAAATCTTCCTAAACTGCCTGTAGAAAGGGTAGAGCTTTTTTGACTTTGTTTTTCCCCTTGCTGCCTTCTCCCCTTAATTTTTAACAGCTTGGGGACAGTATGCAAAATACCTGGAGAGTAATTAAACCAATTAGGAACTACTGTGTAGGTTCACTGTAAAAGGAGGGAGGGCAAGGGGGATGAAAGGTTGTAGCATTGTTTTGTTAAACACTGGCAAATGTAGGAAAACCAAGGAAAGTCACAGCTTGTAAACAGGCATATACTGGTCGCACCTTACTTGTTTTCAAACACACAAAGCCAGAAGAGACAACTGGTCAGACTTCCTGCATGCAAGCAGCACAAGTGCTGGTCATAAAGATTACAAAACCTCTACATCATACAGGAAGTGGAAGTGTTTATGGGTGGGGAATGAACTTTTGCAAGGAGAAAAACACCTCATCATAAATGCTGCAGGAAGCAATTCCATACGAGTGAGAACAGAACTGCAAAATTCTTAAGGAGGAAAAAAAAACCCAAAACATCAAGAAAACTATACACAAAATTACTCGTAATTCAATTTGGGAATGAGAGCTTGAGTTCACCAAATTCATGAGAACCGTAACTTAAAAGTCTGTTTCAGTCGCAGGAGCAAAGCCTCAAGACAACCCTACATACTAAACGAACACTTTAGCTTGGTGAACAATGTTTGCCTATCTCTGCAGCAATGCCACATGGTCTGAATCAAAGAAATACATACTATAATAGTAAAAAAAAAAATAGTACTGTACGTGCTACTGAATTATCTATGACAGAAATGATAAAGCTCCTATTAGCCATTTTTTCCTAACCCTAAACCACAACAACCCCCCTTTTTGCTCCTGAAAAGTAGCCTTCCCATTCTATAAAAACAGTATTTTCTTACAATAGTCCCGTTGCAAAGGTCTTTATGTAACAATAAGGGCCCATTTTCTTTTGTTTAAGCAACACAAAAGAAAATCACAGCAAGAGAGAGAAAAAAAAAAGGAAGAGGTCACCGGAGTGCCAGGATTACTGCAGAATCCCACAGCTAGCACTGAAAAGAGTTACCAGCTTCTCAGGGTCTTCTCTACCAAAAGGCTTAATTCGGCAAAGCCCTCATCTTTTCAGATACCAAGCCAGATCCAGTACTTCGAGTTCCCAGTGATTCCCAGGAACCTCTGCAAAGTTTTTTTTCCTGAATCGCCTGACCTTGATGCTTCCAGCTGCCAGCCGAGGTCAGCCCATTCCCATTCGAAGCACGAAGACGGAGAACGAGCTGAGCCATCGGCCACGGCTCCCACGCTCCCTTCTCTTCCCCTCCCCACCATCAGCCGCAAAGAGCAACTCCAAGAGGAGATTCACGCTCGCACAGAAGAGTGCGGGAAGGCGCGGGGGCCGCAGAGAGGCAGGTCCCGGCTCCATTACCCCTTGCCTCCCCGACCACCACAGCAGGACGAAGGATACCAGGAAGGGCTGCGCCGCACCAAAACCGCCCTTCCCTCGTCTACCCGCAGCACAGGCGCTCCGCCAGGGAGCTGCCTTCCGCCTCCCGCCTCCCCACCATCGTACCGGGCGGCGAGCCGAACCTCCGCTCTCCCACCGAACCCACCACACTAAACCCCTCCACGCCAGCAGCCGCCGCTCTCCAAAGCCTGACCGACGCAGCCACCCCATTGGCTGCGGGTCACATGCTGCGGGGGGCTCCGCCAATCAGCGCCTCTAGAACGCGCCTGCTGGAAGGTTTGGAAAGTTTCGTTACTTTCAAAAGGCGCTCGGGGGCGGTCCCGGTCTCGCTTGCGCTGGGCTGCGGGGTGCTCACTTCACCTCATCCCATCCCATCCCATCCCTCTCGGCGGCGGTTTAGGGAGCTACAGCGCACTCCGGGCCTGCGCCTCCTAAGGTTCTAAGGGGATAAACCAGTATTTGCCGCCTCGCTGTAATGTTAAATACGTGTTTCCTCTGGGAACGTTCAAACGCAGGGAAAGCTTTACATCAAATACTGGGGGTTTATTGTTATTCCAAAGGCTTCTTCTGAAAAACCAAGTAGTGAGACAGCGACTGTAACTTTTTAATGCCAGTGCAACGTTTTCAGACTAAACTCCCCTTTTCACAACCGAGGAACAGCCTGCTGTGTCACTGAAGCCCATGTCACAAGAACAAAGCAGCCTATGAAATATTAGACACTTGCACTCATCTACATCTTAGCATGATCTTATCATTCCAGAAAATGAGCCACAAGCATCTGCAGGGGGAAGGTGCTCCCCAGAGACGACAGGACAGAGCTGGAGCTCAATGCAGCCAGTAAATAACCTTCCCTCCCTGCGTGGAATGGGTCTGGAAGGGACTGAGATGTGTGGAGCTTTCCCGAGGCTCCTACCCAGCGGCGTACACAAACAGTTGGTCATTAGGCACACCTGGCATTTGTTTCCTGAGTCAAAACAAAAACACGAATTATCACATACACATGGCTCCAGCCCACATACACAGGGCCGTGTGTCACCCAGTATCACTTCACACCCCTGCAGCACGATTTGCAAACTGCTTGAGGACAGGCACAACCTCACAGGGGCCCTCATCCCAGTTTCAGTTACTGCTGTGATGCAATACCAGGCCTGGAGCAGAGCCTGATTCTGGAAAAGGCTTCACTGTCTACACTGGGAATGTGCCTCTCCCAAAGACTTTGTAGAATAAGGGTGGGACTGGATCAAAGAGGATGGATGCTTTTTCCGTAAAAATATTCCACTGAAAGAAATCTGACCACAGCTAAGACAACTTCAACTGAAAAGAATAAAAAAACAAGTATAATTTCAGGTCAGGTGTTCAGCAAAACAATTATCTTTTGTGGTTAGATGTTCAGCAGAAGTAAATGGAAACAAACTATTATACAACTATGATAAATTATGTATTTATAATTTAGGTATTTAAAATACTGGGTTAATAGCAACTTGCAGTTCTGTCATTACTCAATAATGGTTTTATTATCAGGTAAGTTACAGAAAATAAACCACTTCCTATTGTAGTATGTCCCCAGTAACTAAAAAATGTGTACTTTTGTTTGCAAGTCTGGGACAAGGGACATTTTACTTCAACTCTTCATACCAATCTTTGAGGACAGTGTGAATACACAGATTATCAAAGGTATATTGGGTATTTTTAATAGTTCTCATCTTGAAATAAATGTAAAAAAAAACAGCAAAAAAAATCTCAGATTTCAGCGGAAGTTGTTATCCTCTCATCCAAATCTGAAGCAGCATAACAGAACCTTAACAATTGCCAGTGGCACTAGCAGATGCAATAGCAGAGGCACTCCTTTACACAAGCAGTAAATAGTAGAAAATGGTTACTATAATTACTGTCACTGCCTGTTTGCAAGAGGAATGAGAACATTTGTTTTGAAATTAGCAGAGGAGAAAAATAAATTATGCATTTATTTTTAGTTTGCTGACTGATAATTAATAAATGACAGATTTTTGTGGCAGTAGGGTTATTTTAGGTGGTGCTGGTTATTTTAATGACAATGCCACACTGACTCTTCCATGAAAGATAAGCAGGGAAAAACTTATACACTGTAAGTTCTGGTGAGGTTGCAACACCTTATTTTTTGGCAAAAGCTTCTTATGGGGAAAAAAAGATTTGCTTTGCTGCAAGTATTAAAAAACTCATTCAGAACCACTCAATGGATGGAACAGGAACTGCTCATCATTTGTCATTACAAACTACTGATTTTTTTTTTAATGGATTACTGATACCCATAAGAAGATGTGATACACATACGTATTAGAATATCAAATGGAAATATTGCTGTCACTGAAGGGAATGTATTTAACATCATTGAAACCTGTTTCTGCCTCTTTGTAATATAATCTGCCTCATATAATTTTCTGCAGCCTATATATGTAAAATTGGATTTGCACATGCTTAAGCAACAAACAGGTTCTCACTACTAGAAAACACTCCTGATATCTTGAACTGATAATTATTGTTTACAAAACTGTCAAATGCTTATGAATAGCACTGGCAAAACACCACCACTCCAGCCCATAATACACAGCAGCATTATACCCTCACAGAACCATGGGAGTTGGGGCAGAAGGGATGTAGATACGAGCATCGTCACTAAGAAGAGTCAACCTTGCTGGTGGCTGCAACCCATTAGGCAAAGGTGAAAGTAAAATGACAACGTAGCCTATTACCATGATGTCACTTGTGATCAGAAGATACCTGAGACACCAAAAGTGGACCCTCACCCTGCTCTGGTGCTACCTCCTCTTCCTTGAGGTCAGCTACCTGCATGTCGAGGAGCAAGCCCAGACTGGATAATACAGGTTTGCTGCATGACTTTGGCTCAGACTTCTGAGGGAACTGTGAAATTGTGAGACAGACCTGTGTCTGTAGAAAGACAAGAAAAGAAAAATTACAAATAGAGATAGGGTTGTTGAGACCAGGGCTATTAGTAGTACAAGGATTCAAGAGGAAAAATATCAGTGTGTAAAGTTATAAGATCTTGAAGTGATTAAACCCTTTACCAGTGTCACCCACATGAACAGATGCAGTGAATTACAAGTTATTAAAACTGAGGTACAAGTGGATGCCCACCCCTTTTTTTGAGGCTTGTTTAGCTAACAGACTTCAAGTGTTTTATCACAGGGTGGGGATCACACTAACACCTCATCCAGCAGCTTGTTAAAAACTTGTTTCTTGTTAACCAGTAATTGCTTTATATTTTTAAGCTGTGTGTATCTTACTTGGGGAATTTCTTTATACACAGCTAATGATGCCCAAAACCACCCAGAGGACAGTACGGAGAGGTCAGACGTCTCTGTCAAAATAAGCCAACAGCAGATTTCTGAACAGTATCAATATTTAACTGCTGTTCTCAGGCTTCAAGGGAACTTCAATACTGTCTTCAAAGGAAAAGCCTCTCAAAAAGAGTTAAAACTGTCCAGCCCTGGCAACCACCGGGATATTTCTGGTTTTGTGCGTGTACTGGAAAAAAAAAAATTAAAAGCTTAAATTCTACTCAAGGCACCAACAATTACTGCCTGTAAGAGCCCCATTCAACGCTACCAACTTCCCTGCCGTACAAATAAGGGGGGAGCACAGAGGTAACTGCTCTGATACTCACTCGGAGGCCAGGCCCCCTGCCGGGCCTCCCAGAGACCACAACATGGTTCCCACAGCCCTGCCGGCTCAGGTGAGACCCCCTTTTGGTGTAAGGTGTGTGTGTGTGAGGAGGAAGAATCACAGAATCAACTAGGTTGGAAAAAAAACCTTTAAGATCAAGTCCAAGCTTTACTCCAGGACTTCAAAGTCAACCACCAAACCATAGCACTGAGCTGGTTTCTCACCTACAGGCTTTTTGAACACTTACTGGGATAGTGATTCCAGCAGTTCCCTGGGCTGCTTGTTCCAATGCCTGATCACCTTCTCAGTGAAGGAATTTTTCTTAATATACAACCTAAACCTCCCCTGGAGCAGCTGGAAGCAGTTTCCTCTTATGATACCCCTTGCTATATGGGAGAAGGGACTGACCCCCACCTCACTACAACCTCCTGTCAGGCAGTTGTAGACAGCAATAAGGTTTGACCTGAACATCCTTTTTTTCCAGGCTAACGCCCCCCAGTTCCTTCAGCCGTTCCTCATCAGACTTGTGCTCCCGACCCTTCACCAGCTTCGCTGCCCTTTTCTTGACCCACTCCAGCACCTCAGTATCTGTCTTGGACTACATAACTAAACACAGCATTCAAAGTGCGGCCTCACCAGTACCAGCTACAGGAGGTCTGCCCAGGGTCCCGCCGGGGAGGGACCAGGTGCTCTTATTCGGGGCCTGCCGCCTCCCCGCAGGTGCCGCCCCCATCCCCTCAGTGCGGCCAGAGGCACCTTTCAGCTGGGGCGGGCAACCCTCGCAGCCCCGGGTCGGGTACCGTCCTGCCCCGCACACGGCAGGTTTAAAACGCACGGCCCCTTCCGCGGCCTAGCCCGCTGCGCGCCAGCGAGGAGGGAGTAGAGCATCACGACAACCGCCTTTGCGGCAGCGGGCTGGTTTCCGGCGCTTGGTGTTGCTTGACGGCAGAAGGAGCTGAGAGGGAGGAAGGAGGACAACAAAGGGCCGTGGCGGGCTGTGGCGGTGTGCGAGGGGCGGCTCAGGTGAGGCGCAGCGAGCGGGAGCAGGGCACGGATAAGCTGGGACCGCGGCTCCCGCCGGCCCGCGGCTGCCTCCGCTGCCTTGCGGCGGTGGGGAGGCCCCGGGCGGGACACCGCGGCCGGGCTCGTGGGGGCGGGGCCCGCTCCCCTTGCAGACAGCAGCCTGGTCCCCGGGCGGAGCTGCACTACGGGCCGCGCTCAGTGGAGCTCCGCGGGCTGGAGCGGCCATTCGTCCGGCAGCACCTCCGAGTGTGTTAGGACTGTTTGTCTGGATGGGGGAGGGTCGGGCCTCGATGTCGCCTCCCCCGGGCTGCGGGCCCGGCCGAGCTGGAGGCACCGGGGCAGCGGCGAGCCGCAGAGGACAGAACGTGGACGTACGTGGTGCACGCAACTGCTAAATGGTTTCAGTTTCCTTTTTAATTCATAAACGAATTGGTGCTACCAGACGTTTTTTAAAGTAACTTGCTCCAGAGCTGTAGAACTTGATTAACTTAGTTTTTTGTTCAGCATAATTCTGGGTACTTTAGGTTCCTGCGTATAGATGTTTTTTTCTTAAAAAGTCGAACTTATTTTGTGGTTAGAAATAACACAGGGGCAAGTGTACTGCTATTTAATCCATATAGAATTAATGAGAAAAAATCTGAAGGAGCATTTTTCTAATGTGTGTGATACATAATTGGAGGGTAAGAAGACTTAGTTTCTGATACTGTAGTTTTTGTGGTGGAGTGTGGCTGGGTCTTTTTGTGGTTCTGTAAAGCTAAATTGATGTGGTGTGCTGTGGAGTAGCTTGAGAATTAATGTAAGTATTTGTAAATAATTTTAATAATTTAAAGCTCTGTTTAAATACTAAATGCTGTGTGGCTAATACAGGTGTGTATATAAGTTTGTTAGCTAGTGGAAGGAGAAGGAATATGCAGTTAATTCTTTCAGGTGTGTTCAGTTGCACCTGTTTTGGATTTGCTGATGAGCTGTTCTTGAAAACCTACCTCCTGGCTTCTGTTTCTAGAAGAATGTGCTGAAAATTCAGGAAATTATTCATGTCAGCAGCAATGCATTTCTGGGACTCTAGGTAATGCCATGGACTTAAACAGTGTTTTCCTCAGACTGTGTCACCTGTGTTGCAAGTCATGAGGAATATTCCTGTACTAGGGAGTAGTCAAACCATGTTCCATATGCATAATTTAATTTAACATAAATAATGCAAGTTCAGTGATCTAGCAGTAGTGGAATTCATAAGAGAATTTTTCTGTCTTACCTGAATGGTTATTTAAAGAATGTATTTTTTTTCTTTAGCAGGTAGGAAGAATGAAAGGAAGGGGGAATGAAAGAATGTTGAGCCTTTTTATTTGGTTGTATGATGGAAGGAAATAGGACAGAGAACCTCTGCAACAGATCGTTCGGATGGCTTCAGCGACAAGAGAATGATGCAAAACCATGGCTCTGGAAACTTTCTGATTGCTTTTCTGCTGCTGAGAAATCTTTGCCTTGCAGTGCAAGAACGGTAATTCATTGCTTTACTAAAGGCACAGTCAGTATCCTGGCGTAGAGCAGTATAACTAACTGCAGTCTTACTGCTGACTAAAGGGGGCAAGTGGAGAGGGGTGAATGAGGAGACAGCAGTTACCACATTAAATACAAAATCTGCCAGGGAATTTAAGGTCTCTAGTGGTGGTCATTGCTCTCATCTGTGTTGGTGAAAGCAGGCAAATTGCTTTGCTTGACAGGCTCTACTCTTTACAGTTCTGTAATGATACAACTCACTGCTTAAAAAGTCTGTAAGGCAGCTTCTTGAAAGCTCTGTGAAGTTACTGCTGGAGAGCAGGGTAGGGGACTAGTCTTCATTCTTACAGATTTTTACCAGTTTGGAGGCAAACTTAGAAGCTTCTGACTTATTATTATTATTTAGTAGTTAAAGCAATTGTGCATGCTGTTCTTCATGAATGTCTAATTTTCCCTTGTTTCCATTTCTTTAAATGTTGTTCCATAACTGTATATAGTTCTGTACCTTGGAGATGCAGAGTGCTAAGGAATAAAAGGAGTAATAGAAAACAGTGAATTATTTGAGCAGGCAAGCTCCAGGTGTTAATTAACACCCATTCATTGTGTTAATCTGACTTTCAGTAAAAGACATGGGAGAAACAGATAAGCACATGTCCTGTTGTGTTGCTATTCTCATGTATCGGGCTGGGAAGGCAGCTGCCATAAATTCTGGAATTTAACATCTGAGCAAGTTCGGACAGGTTTTTGGCAGAGTATATCTTAAGATGTGGCATCAGGTAGAGAGGGGTGGTGTTGAAGTCAGGTAATCAGTTATTCGTTACTGTGCAGTAGGAAAAGCATTAAATTCAATTTGGAAAGTGAAAGTTGTTCAAAAGTACTGGCCTAAAGCTCTGGAGCAGTGAGTTGTGTGCTCTACTGACCTTGTCTGTTCAGGTGCTTCTCATAACTTTGTTTAGTCTTCCCTGCTGCCATTTAAAAAAAAAACACCCTGTATGTCTGTGTATGCCTTTATGTCTGTACATCTTGATATCTTAAATAAGAGTAGGCAAAAAGTACTTGCATAGTTGTTGTGAAAATTTAGTGTTCTCTGTCCTCTGTTAGTTTATCTAATTGATAGAATTTCTAATATTTTGAAGTCTTAGTCTTTTAATGCATTACTTCTAAAACTCTAATACAATATTAAGGCCATCATTGACACATAAAAGTTTTTTATGTACCTCCACACTGTGGTGGTTTTGTGTTGGTTTTTTTTTTTTCCAGTGCATCCATCGATTGCAGAATATCTCTCAGCCTTGGCCTAACACTGCTTTTCAAATTCTGTTTTACAGACTCATTGCTATTTGTTTTGTAGCTTTTTGTTGCTTTGAAAATCCACTGATACCAATATAGATCATGCTGGCACACATAACTGGCATGTTTCTTTTAATATCTTACATGTTCAGACAGTTAATAATAATCATGAAGGTGGTACTTTTCAAAATCTGTTAATTAATGAAATTGTAACAGTCTAAAAATATGCTTGTTTATATTACAAGGTTATGTTTTAATTCATCTAAATGTAATTGAGCTTTCAATTTCCAGAAGGATTACATGGAGAACAAGAAAGCTGCTATAGAATTGAAGGATGCTTCATTGCCTCATAATGCTGGCTCTAAACTGTTTCCAGCAGTTCCGCTTCCTGATGTTCATCCTCTTCAGCAACAGCAAATACAGCTTTCACCTGGCCCAAAAGTAAGCTGCTGTGCTCATGGCTCTGACTCTTCTTGTACTCCGCAAATGCGTTGTGTTGGTGGTGGTAACTTGATTCACCCTGGCACAATATTAGACTCAAAAAGCACTGGGACGATTACTTGTCAGGTAGGGTCAGGATTTGCTTATCAGTCTGCATCTTCCCTGAAAACTCCTCCAGCTAGAAGCATTGCAAGTGAGTTCCCAGGCATGTGCATAGAAAACAGTGTATCTTCCTGCCAACATCTTTCCTGTTGTGGAAAACTCCATTTCCAGTCCTGTCATGGTAACGTGCACAAACTGCATCAGTATCCAGCCCTTCAGAGCTGCACATCTTCTGGCTATTTTCCTTGTTCTGAATTCACAAGTGGGGCTGCAGGCCACTTGGATGAGCATATTGCACAGTCGGAGCTAACATCACGTGTGTACG